TATTGGATCCTCACATTGGGACATCCATGTCAATTATGTTTTGAAGAAAGTTACATTTGTATCGTACAAAATTAAATAACTTGCGAATATACTAACAGAAAAATATTTATACCATACACTGATTAAGCCTCATCTCACATACTCTATATTAGCATGGGGAGCTTCATTTCATCTCATACCTATAATTTAGACATTTTCGAAAAAAAGTATTATAAAAATTATGTTTAAAGAACCGAAACTGTCCCACTGTCCCACTGTCAATTTATACGCAGATGTACAAATGTATGATATAAGAGGGCCTTATTTCTTACACAGTATCACTCACTATCATAAATTTGTCAACACCGATCAAAAAATTATTATTATTATCATTATCCTAGAATTCTTTTGTCCAAAACTGCATTGCTCATCAACCGTCTAGCTTCGAAATTACCCTACATATACAGGGTGATTCCCAAAGACGTGGAAATAATTCTGGAGTAGAAACTACACCCAAAAATAATAAAAACAATCTCATTGTCGAGGTACAGGGTACTGTAAGCTGATCAAACTGAATTGATGAAATAACGCTATGCTTACTTCAGCGTACTTTCAAAGTCTTTATCACCTTAAGTATTTTACCCAACTTTTCTTCAAAAGGAGTAGACTGACAAACATGCTTCTTCGAAGGCGATTCATGTAAATTAAGTGCCTCACTCAAATATGCAATATAATTTTCAAGAAATGTATTTCGTTCTGGGGGAATAAAAATTTAGCAATAGCAGTGGCAGGAACGAGGATTGTTGTATGCATCAGCTGTGAAGTCAGTACTATATGTGCAAAATCTTATGATAAAATCTTAATGCACACATGAAGAGCTTTATTTCTGATTCCAACAATATATGATATGTCATACATGGCCATTGCCAAATCTTAGTTATTGAAAAGAAAATAGAATTTCCTCGGCGGACCTTGTAATTATAAGATAGTCATTTGTTATGTATACCGGATTTATTGGAAAATCGTTGTTTATTTCCTGGTTTCATTTGGAATTGGATTTCAAAATTAATCGCATATTAGTGTTGCCACTCTTTCTCCTCTACAAGAGGGCGTAGTCAAATTCTCAATTAGACGTTCTTTTGCTCTTTTTTATGGACTCCCACTGAAATTCTGCGCAATCGAACAATTTTATTAATCTACTTATTCTTAGTAGTATCTAAACATACAAAATGTCAATATAACGTCCATATGAAAAAACAAAGTTGGTGATGAAGACCACAGAAGAAACCTCGAATTGAAGCTTCGATGTCATCCTGTATATTGCACTGCTTGATAAGGTGAGTGCTGTGCACATCGACATTATTTTAATTTCATTATACGAGAGATTTTGCTTTTGTTCTGTGAAAGTGCCTTGAGTTAACTGGTTCAATGGAAATTATGTGAGACGATAAGTCATCGCTAATCGGTGTAATCATGATAAGATAGATGACTCATGACATTCTAGGAATGATTTCGTACACAAAGAAAGTCTTGATACTGTAAACAGTGGATGTAGGTCTTGATCGTATGCATGATAAATCGTTGTTGATGTTTGCATTTGACATTTGCTATTTTTGTCTTTCTCTTTAAGAATGCTCCCTTGTGAGTCAAGACTTCGTCCATGCACGTAAAGTCAGAAAAAATAATTGGATGCATCTGTATAATTTTCGTTAGAACCTGAAATGAAATCTAACATTTGAACTATAAAAATATATCAAGCATCTGCCTTTACTGTGTCAAAGTTAAAATAGCTTTTCATTTACTCCTGCTGATAAAACTGAATTTCAAGTAGTTACATTAGAAATGTCTAATACTTTTTTATATTATTACTTTTGTCATTTGTCTATTTTATTGATGTTGGTATTTATTTTTGTATGGCTTAGGTGGAGGAACAGCTAAGTTTAATAAAAAGACGTTTATTATTACTATTTTGAAAAAAATTGGTTCCTTTCGTCTCCGGGAATATCTGGAATTCAGAGGAAGTGCCATTTTCTTAATTACCTGAATAGTCTAAAAAGTTGGCAACTCTAATTTTTTCATCGACTTCGTAATTATAAGTTGAACACCCTGTATCTTGGTGAGAGAAGAACTTCTCGTTTTAAGATCGCCTTTGAAGCTTGGTCAGGTACTTTATTGATACCCTGTATACTTTGAATTTGAATGCCGAGAAGTATATTTTGACCTTACAAATTAGCGAATGACTTTCTGGTACAGGGCCTCCTGTTATGACTTTATGCTCTTTTCGGTCTTATTTGACGAACTTCGAACTGCACCATATTGATACTGCTCATAATAGTTGGTACCAACAATTTTATTACTATACCCCATTCGTAGTCCATTTACGCCCAGACAAAACACAACATGCCCAAAAGCGAGATTGTACAGGTCCGTATTTTCCTCAATGGTCTTGGAATAATCTAACAAAGTAAATGATTATTTTTATTGAAAGAAGTGCACATGCTTTTCACAATGCTTTATTTGCTGGAAGTACTTGGTTAGTTATTACTGGGTTTCGATCATATTGTCGAGATCCCACATCTTTGTTTCGATTGTCTCTTGAACGTGACGAATGCAACCTTTCCAATGGTTTGCCGTCACTCTGTTGACAGCTTCATAAAACAAATTTGCTATTGTTTGAAGCCGCGTAGTTCTTTATATTTGCAAAATTAATATCAATGGGATTTAATACGCAGTGATAAGGGGGTAGCCTTATAACGGTTTTATTTTGGTTTAAGATCATATTTATGTTTGTGCTCCCTGACTACGAGTAGATGGATAAGTTCTGCTTTGACCATATTTTCATTGAAACTAATGCCTTCTGATAGGAGCTATAGTTGACTTTCTGCCTTTCTTGTCGACATTGTGGGATTTTTTTCTAGTTTTCTAGTGTGGTGTGCAGCATTATCAAGTACAATGATGTCGTTGTCGTCAAACTCCGTCCATTTCTTCATGATAGTCGGTCGTTTTGTTTGCTTTAAATGCCCATAGAGCAATGGGCACAAAGCCATCTTCACTTCCAATATAACAGATAACAAATCGTTTTCCCATTCCTGGAAATAATTATTTCATATAATATTCAAGAAAACTAATAATAATACAACCAGAGTATCTAACAGGTATTGCTTCCATCAACCAGATTTAGTTTAGTCTAAGAAGGCTTTTCTGACTGATTTATGCTCATATTCACCGTCCCTTGAGAAGTACGATTAATGACTAATCCAGATTATTGACGCGTTTTCATATGCACCGATACACTTAACAGCTGCTAATCGCGTTTAGGCGTAATCCTAGCGTATTGACAGTTTAATCCGAAAATTGACGGATTGAGGTTCTAACCTTATTTCGAGTTGTTGGTATCTTTGCGAAAAAGTGCTGTTTTGCAAAAGTAATGCAGATCGAAGATGAGATATTTCTTGATGATGATAAGGACATCCTAGATATTATTCGCTTCGGATTTCCAAGATACTAATGGGTGATTTTTTTGCTAGTATCTTTTTGGCAACACTGTTTTTGACAGATGACGCGTGAATCGTGTCTTGTGTTATTGTCAAACTTGTTCAGTTTGGTCTATAATTTAACCATGAATCGACTTACGAACGAACAACGCTTGCAAATTATTGAATTTTACTATCAAAATTCATTCTCGGTTAAGAGAATGCATCGAGCACTGCTTCCAATTTATGGGCAATTTGGTCGGCCTACTGAGGGAGCTATTCGGAAGCTTGTGGCTAAATTTCGAACCCAGTTTACATTATTGGACATTAAACCACCAACACGCAGACGTAGAGTGAGGACTGAAGAAAATATTGCGGCTGTATCCGCCAGTGTTAGTGATGACCGTGAAATGCCGATACTCCACTACGTGGAAAATGTTGCGACAGGGTTTGGGTGTAAAACCTTATAAGATACAGCTGGGTCAAGAATTGAAGCCACACGACCTCCCACAACGTTTCCAATTTGGTGAATGGGCGCTGGCAAAGTTGGAGGAAGATCCACATTTTTATCGAAAACTTGTGTTCAGCGACGAAGCTCATTTCTGGTTGAATGGGTACGTTAACAAGCAAAATTGCCGCGTCTGGAGTGAAGACCAGCCAGAAGCATTGCAAGAGCTACCAATGCATCCCAAAAAAATCACTGTTTGGTGTGGATTATGGGCCGGTGGCATCATCGGGCCGTACTTCTTCAAAGACGACAATGGCCGAAACGTAACTGTGAATGGCGAGCGCTACCGTGCGATGATAACAAACTTTTTTTTGCCCAAAATGGAAGAGCTGGACTTTCAACAAGACGGTGCCACATGCCACACTGCAGACGAAGCAATGGCCCTATTGAGAGGCGAATTCGGTGAACAGCTTATCTCACGTTTGGGGCCCGTCAATTGGCCGCCTAGATCGTGTGATTTAACGCCGTTGGACTATTTCTTGTGGGGCCATGTTAAGGCTAATGTCTACAGGGATAAACCAGCAACGATTGACGCACTGGAAGCCAATATTGAAGCATTTATTCGTGAGATACCGGCCGATATGTTGGAGAGAGTGTGCCAAAATTGGACCTTGCACATGGGTCATCTAAAGCGGAGCCGCGGCCAACATTTACATGAAATAATCTTTAAACATTAAATTATATCGACCGTTCTATCGACACAAATAAAGATTTAATCGTTTTTTCAAATTTTTTGTGTTTTCTTGAAAATCAAATCCTATACAGATTGTTTTAACGAGATGGACGACCTATCGTTTTTCATGAGATTTCGGCTCCAAAGAAGCACTGTTCTCAGATTGGTAGAACAAATAAAGTATCAACTCGAGTTTGATAACAATTAGTAACTATTTTTTACCAAATATTAAATTACGATAATCAATTTCCTTGGCCAGAATCGAAGCTTAGACAGGGACGTCTTTAAACACCTTTTCATCTGGCTGTGAATCTGGATCACATTAGGTATTTCCAAGATTTCAGTCACTATAATTTTTTTTTTCCAGGAATACTAGTGTGCCGCCCATTGATCATCTCCTTACATGCCTACCATTTTATGCCTGCAATGCACATTAAAATTGTATTGGAGACTTTATTAGCATGCATCAGACAACAGCACCCCGTATAATTGCAAACGTTTCAAGAGCAATCAAATCAATATATCAGAATTCCCAATGAAGCTGATGAAGTAATAAGAGATCAGAATGGCTTCTACAGGATCTGTAGATTTTCACGCGTCACTGGATGCATTGACGGGACGCACATAAAGATGCAATCACCAGGAGCTCAAGATGGAGAGATAGAAAGTCATATTTATCTATAAATACTCAAGTATTTGCTGGGTCAGATTTGGAAATATTTGATATTGTTTCTACATGACCAGGATCTACCCATGATTTAACTATTTTCAATGCATCCCACCTAAGAACACGCATTGAAGGGAGACAATTTCAGAACGCTGTGCTCTTGAGAGATAGTGGTTACCAGCTGAAAGTCTACCTAATGACACCTCTACAAAATCCAGGCAGTGTTGTCGAAAATACTTATAATGAAGCTCATGTGCAATGTAGTAGAAAAATTAATTGATGTTTGGAAACGTCGCGTCGGTTCCTAGTATTAGCCTATGGTAGTCGGTGTCGATTAGATAACGATTTAACTACAATTGTTGCCACTGCTGTGCTAGCAAAATAAGGCCGCTAGAAGATTTGCCTCCCTATCCAAAAGAACTCAATGGTCAAGAACTGGATTACCTAATTTTACAAGGAGGCATTTCTCATGTACATGCAGCGAATGTTGGTCAAGACCCGTTTAATTTCCGCCAAAATCTGATAGATAACTGTTTTGGTTATTTATAAAACCTCTGGATAATAAACACACAATTTGTGGAAAAACTACATACCGTTTGTAATATTGTATTAAAAAAAAAGTTTACTACAGTATCTTTACTGCATTGAAAAAAAGGTAATATACAGGGTGTCCGCAAAGCTGGGGTTTTCCTTTACACGACGTGTAGATCTTGAAAACATAAGCAATTTTCCTTAGTACCATATACACCAATGTCTTAAGGGAACCGAGATAAAGGGCTCTGCAGCATCAAAAATATCTGAATACCGTCCTGTAGCCGCGACATCCCCGAGTTGTACTAGGACACTAGCTCAACCCGACGACAGAACTTGGTCGGGGTCAGTGTGTCAGGTCAGAATGCAACCTTTAACCGACGGTTACGGTCACGCGTGTAGAGGTAATCGCGTAGACGAGAATCCCTCAACAAACACTAGAGACGTGGCTAGAGAAGTGCAAGTATCAAAAACTAAAGTGTGGGAAACGCTGCGTGAAGAGGGGCTGTATCCGTTTCACGTCCAACGTGTACAAGCCCTCCAACCTGACAATTTTCCAGCAAGAGTGCGGTTTTGTGAGTGGTTGTTGCATCAACATGACAATAATCCCGACTTTTTGAAGTGCATATTGGTGACAGACGAATCTACGTTCACGCGTAATGGGGTTTATAACTTTCGCAATACTCATGTTTGGTCAGTAGAAAATCCGTTCGCTGTCCGTCGGGCACATTTTCAACAAACATTTTCGGTGAATGTTTGGGCTGGCATGCTGAACAGTATGCTCATTGTACCATTTATGCTCCCAAATCGACTGGACGGGATGCAATACCTAGACTTTTTACGCAACATTTTGCCTTCCTTGTTTGCCTGCGTCTGCTCGGTAGCGCATCAGCTGATTTCATTTTCTGTTGGAGCGGTATGATTTCGGGCAGAGACGTACTTGGCCCTTCTCGTCAACTGGAGAGTGAGTACTTTTTCCTTTATTTTTTTTTTACTTGGTCGCCCTCGTTTCACTACACATTACCTTTGTTATTTCAAAGGTAGTTGTTTCTGAAAAGGAAAACTCCAACTTTGCGGACACCCTGTATAAGTATCTTAACACAAAGTAATAACTCTCATTGTAAGAAATTGGAATTTAAATTCAGTTTTTGAAATTTTTAAGTGAAGCAAATCTATTTTAAGTTTCTTTCCATTTTTATAAATTCTTGCTCTTCATCTGTAGCTTTTATTTTCCGATAAAGTCAGTATTTTGTCTAAGAGTAGATTGTGTTTAGAGGCAATATCAGAAGATGTTAAAGCAGTCACAACTTGCTTTGGTCTTCTTTTAGACCTCTGTGGAGTCTGGGGAAAGTCATTTGGAGGGCGACTTTAGGCCTCTACTTCATAGCAGGCATCGCTCCAACTCCAGTTAAAAATCTTTGGTTTTTGTCCTCACGTTTTTCTTCTTAATTGTTTTTTCTTACATTCATACAACATTATCAATGACTCGGCTTTTCTGAATGCAGTAGGTTCCAAAGATTGCTTTAGAGGCTCTGTCGGCCTTCTTGTCGTCTAATATTTTCGGAAAGCCGAGCACTTTTACATTAAATAAATGCATCTTTTCACTAGCAGTAGAATTCGGTTCTCATTTCTTCTGATTTCTTTCCATTTTGATAATCCTCTTGAACATATAGAAACTGTCAAATGTAAATTTTTTTTGACAGAATCTACAAATTTGCAATATTGCCACGTTTTGCCGTTCCTGATCCGGATTCCCCAATCTGGATTAAAGTGTCAAACGATGCATATGGGCATTAATTGTAAAGTCTGCCCATACTTTAGGTTTTCTACGTCCTCCATTTATCCAGGCTTCAACTAAGTAATAAATCTTCTTTTTGTGGTCGCGGTATTTCTTTATTGATTTTAAATAATTTCTTCTCCCTAAAATAATCTCTTGACTGTTCGTCAAGACTATTTCTATCCCACTTCCTATACACAAAATGAAGTACGTAAGTCTTCATCACTATTAACTTCCTGTAATACTTTGTCTATGGTGGGCTGTTCCTGCCTTTCAATCATCTTTGTTGTGCCGAGGCGTATATCTACCACGAATGGGGTACAGAAATCTGGATAAAAACTTTAATAATATGAAATACATCAATACGGTTTTGGTCCAAACATTATGAAGACAAATACGAATATTATTGGTACTCACATTGTGTAATATATTTTTAAAGCATTATGTGTTATGTAGAACAGCATAGCCTGTTATCACTTATATAGTTGTATTATGAAAAGTATCATATCAAACAGAATGTTTGCATATATCTAATCTGGTTAAGGAAGTAAATATAATAATATTTATACGAAAAATGATTAGTGCTGACACAGTTTTATGGTTTTCTGCAATGTGAGTTTTGCCTAGTTTCATCTGGTTCAGTGGTAAACGCGGTTTCTTGATAAACATTTGTCTACAACCCTGCTATATCATTGATGTTTATGTACATTTTTGCCAGATTCTTCTTGGAGTCACGTTTACACGCAGCTTAGATAAGCAGCTTCTGCGTGTATAACATTTAGATGTTTTGCAACAATAACTTTGCACATGTTAAGTTGCTTTTTAACTACATGCTCTGGCTAATTTAATAAGGAATAAGCAATAGAATGAACTATATATATATATTTGAGGGTCTTTCACATTTACCAATTGAGGGATCCAATGCATGAACCAGTTAACTCACATGAAGAATGGTGTCGAGGAAACATAAAAAAATATTTTTGATGTAAATTTTTTAGTTACTGAAAATTTTCGTGTCTGTTGTCAATATCAAATAATTTAGCTGCATTATTTTTTAAATATATCAATCTGTAAATAAAAAAAACAAATGAGCTGTGAGGGAAATATTAATGGACTAGACAGGTTTATGCAAAGTTTTTTTATTGTTTAAGGGATAAAATTAGAATAAAACAAACTTTGACGTTAAAAATGTTATTTTTTGTAATAACATAAACTAACAAATTGTTTAATTCAACTTTTGAAACGAACTTAAAATACTTTCATTTATTCATCATCTCTCAATTCTGATGCGGAAGTTTACGATGTGGCGGAAAACCCTGATGATATTTTTTGATATCTTCGTAGAACCACTGATTACATTGTGGCACATTTTTAGCCAAAGCCATAACATGAACAAATTTATTTTTCTCTAGTTTTCTTCTTTCACTATACATCTTATTTGTAGTGTTTTCTAGAGTCAGGGGCTGCACATTCGTCTTATTTCGACCTTCAAAAATATTAAACTGATACAAAAAGCCTGTTACACTAGATTTAAATAATATCTCACTATCTAGTTTTCTTAGCGCATGATTCGATATTTTGAAATCGTAAATTTATTGTTCTTCATTGAAGGACTTTTTACAAACAACTGTAGCAAATGTGCTCTGAAATTTAAAAATATATCCTGCGCGCCATGGATGACTTTAAGGTGTTTGTGTTTTCGATAATCTTTGAGCACTCTTGCGACAAATATATTTTGTCGTGCTTTCTTTTTTGTTTTTCTATGACTCCAAAGCTCATACGGAAGTAAACTATGTCCGAGTTCGGGGTACCTGTGTTGTATCAGACTGACAGCCCTGTGAAAAAACCAGTTAAGTCTAGGACTTGCAAGGTCTAAAAGCATAGGCAACCAATAATACACTTCATTTTCCACAATTTAAATGCAACAGAGCTGAATATAGGACCAACTCAAAACTCATTTTGCCCAATAAATGGACTTGGCTCAATTAGGTTTGTGAATGCAAATCCAATGTTCGGCAAACTAAATCAAAATCAAACTCATTTATTTATGCAAGATACAGTCATTGTATGAGCACATGTCATTTTTGATACATTCATAGAAATGTCTTAAAACCTTGAAGCATACTATAGGTTTCACTACATAACACATACATCAAATGCAGCCAAAACCAGTGTCTAACATCTCTGATATCGAATATGGAGCAAGTTGTGGGAGATATTGCTTAACACTACTTCTGAAGTTATTTAATTCAAGACTTTTGGTCTGTGAAGGTAGTTTATTGTATAATTTGACAGCAATAAACTCTGGTCTGTTTTGACACTTCCTCAGTCGGCTGAAGATAGATCTGATTTTGTTCCAGTTTCTTGTTTCATATACAAAGTGACATATAAATCCAAACACCCAGTTTAAATGGCTTTATTTTAATAAAAGTTGGTGAATGTATTTATCTTACTGTAAATAACAAGTGAAAAAATTTTCAGCCTTATCAGTTGGACATTCCGGTTTTTATACTGCTTTTTTTTAATTCACTAACGCTCTAAAAATGAATATTTCAGCCGCAGTAAAGAATCAACGTAGGCGGATTTTGGTTCTTGACATCCTTTACGATCGGTTACGATGCCTAGAGTACGGAGACCTGTACGATTTCGTCAACTTAGTGAGTTTGAAAGGGGCCGTATAGTGGGACTTCGGGAAGCTGGACTTTCTTTTCGGGCAATTACAGTTAAAGTGCAAAGAAGTGTAGACACTGTGGTTAGGTGTTGTCAGGCATGGCTTCGAGAAGGCCGTACGCAAAGAGCAAGGGCCACTGGACGCCGCCGTAGAACAA